AAACGGATCCAGTAGTCCAAAGATTCCAACGCAGAATCGGTATCAACCTTTGTGCGCTTCCTTTCATGGGCATCTCGCTTCCGTTGTTGATGGCCTCGTGGGGGTCCTCTAGTAGGTAGTATGGTCTTGTTTGAGCTGGTATATGGTGACGGCATCGGGGCCTGGGTGAATGACATATCAGAGGCTGCAGTCGACTGGTAATCGAAGGATGGTCCCCCCTGGTTGCCAGATGCTCCCATGTCACCCTCTAAGCCTGTTGGTCTCCATGGCGAAGGTTCATGTTGCTGTTGAGATGTGTCGTTGTTCTGATCCACGTGATTCAGCGTCTGGTTGTTGGGCACCGCAAAAAAGTTAAGAAGATTAGGATCCATTGCTAACACGGCATCCCGGCCTGCGAGGCCGTGTTCGTCGTACGGGAAGGGAGATCTCGTGTGAGCAGCCCGTACAAGGTCTGAGCCAGCTCAATTGGCGATGGCTACTTCGATTGGAAAACGGGTGTAATTAGGTTCAAAGGCGGTTGGGAGAGCAAATAGGCCACTCGATAAAGTGTGACAATCACAAAGCTGTCGCAATGGAATTGAGGGGTCGATCTGTCAAAGCATATGACAGTGGGTCCAGCCGTGATGGAGGGTAAGAATTGATGATGCTGATGATGACAACCTCGCGAAAGGGATGAGATGGCACGGAAATAGGTTGAACTGTATCGATTGAGATTCAGCGAAGTGAGGATAAGATGAGCTCGGTAAAGATGGCTAGGTGGGGTGTTGTTGAGATTGAGGCCAGATCCAGATGCTTAAAGGAATAAGAATGCGGATGATGGGGTTGAAGAGCTGCGGAAAGGTGAATTGCAATATGTGACAGCACTGTAAGATGGGTCGATAGCGAAAGCGACAATCAAGGCGTACGGGCCAAGGAGCAGATTGATTCGTTGTCGGTTTGGCTGTAGATTTGATGAGGTCGAGCTTTGACTAGAGCGTGGCGGAAGCTTGTGGTTTAAGGTATGTGCTTATGGGCGGGTATGGCTTCTAGCCACAGTGCAGCAATGTATGTGAAGGCGGGCTCTGAGTAAGTTGAAATGAATTAACCGCTCAGTTATCGCAAAATGAGATCGGGCGCAAACAGAAACAACAAAATGGATCGGTCGCCAGATGTTGGTCGAGGGAGTGAAGGGTTTTACGGAGAAGCAGAGTATCAGTCGATAGGATGAGCGGACTCATGCGGCTCCCAATTCGTTGGTTGGGATTGGAAAGCCCAGGCCCAAGTTAACTAGACGGGGAACAGGACAGGACAGGACTGGGAGTCAATCCTTGAGACTTGCTTTCTTGCTTGGGGAGGAGACTGGACTGTCTTGGACTGGCTGGCTGGATAGGTCGGACGGGTAATCAAGAGGGAAAAAAAGGCCGGATTGGGGTCTTGTGAGTTGTCGTATTCGCCGCAGTCAAAAGATTGGGTTCTTTTTAGGGGTCTGATTGACTCGACTTGCGATCGAGTCACTCACTGGTTCTGGACGACAGCGTTGGGGGATGGGGTTTTCTCACAAAGCCCATGCTATGACTGGTGATATTCTCCTAGCATTGGATCTCCTTCTCAACTATTTTTCTTTTCTCTTACCCTCTCTCTTCTGCAAGCGAGTTGGCGGGACGGGGGTGCGTATGAGCAAGAGCAGATTTCTCTCCCACTGCCGGTCGACGTCGTGATGTTTGTTGCCCGTAATGGCGTGACTTCTGCCTCGAAAAGGTCCAACTTGTGCGGTTCCAACTCCAGGGGCCCTTGAAGACCCCCGGGAGTCCTGGACCGCTGGCGTAGCAAAAATTGGACGACATCGTATGATGAGCAAGGCTGAGGAGGGGAATTGTACGATGGCCAAGCCTCTCATCCATTGGCTGACTCGTGCTGAGCCGATGTCACTGTTGCCATTGGCTGCCGGGTATTATTGCTGGCTGTCATTCGTTCTTGATTGAGACTCGGAGAATGTAGAAAGCTTCAAATTTTGTTTCTATTCGTTAGCGGTTTGTTTTAGGTCCGAAACGGGCCTATGTTTGTCTGCTTCAACCTGCGATCTGATTCATGAATCACGTGGCAGACAAGACTGTCTTTATTGAGAAACCCATGATTCCCGCTTCTCAGCTGTCGCTCTCATTCACTAACAGTCAATAACCCACTAAAAAGCGGCTTACGGAGAGCTGGGGGGTCTTGGCAACGGTTTCTCCCTCGAGTCCTTCAGCCTCGTGCTAGTGGCAAGCGATGGCTTCTAGGCTCAGCTGGCACGCTCTAGCTCTCCACCCAGACCACTCAAGAAGCTCAGGAGGCTCACTGGTGGGTGGGGGCATCTTATGATCCTTGCCTGTCTCATTCATGGATAACCTCTGTGTTGGTCTCACAAGTTTCCTATCTAGGATGTCCATGAAAATGATGAACATCGCAAAGGACAAGCCAACATGAAGTTGTTCGCACGAGCAAACTAAGAGATACCCGTTCGATGAACTGTATCTGTGCTGCTGTCAATGTCGTCATTCCAAACCTAATAGTCTGGCTGCTTTCAAACTGGCGGCTTTTAACATCCGTACCTGACCGGATTTTAGGTTTAGGGTATCCAATTAGTGGCCAATGCTACAAGCTACGACCTTGGAGATGGGGTTTTCCTTTTTGAAGTCCTTGATATGTCTATTTTTGTCAAAACACTGAGCCCACCATATGGCCTTACCTCAAATTCGGAAAGTTGGCCTGTAGATGGGATGTCTGGAGCTCTTGTGATCAGTATGTCTTTGCACTTCACAGAGGATATGATGCGCTGCTTTTCCACAAAATGTGTAGCTTGACTAAAAAATGAATCATGTTGTTTCCTCCAAATCTGTGCTTTGTAATTGGAAAGAGAGTACTTGTTTAATAAACCAGACTATCATCGAAATTTAAGTCTGCAAGGCTGATGGCAAGTATACATTTTCAGGTCTTGAGGATCCAGAGTACTATCAGCCTTGATAGCAGGATAAGAAATACAACAAATCAAATTGTTGACTGACTGGAGGTCACATTCCGGTATCTTTGAAAGTGTTGCGAACAAACCCAGTGGCTTATTTACCGTCGTCCTTTATGCTCTCCATAGTTATGCCGCAATTTAAGTGTCTCCTCTGTCAATGTACCATTCCCCATCAAGTCATATATCGTTATTTTGGCTCCCAAGGTTTTGGGAGAGTTTCCTTTCGTAAACAGTCCGGACATATTTCTTCGTCGTAAACGATGTCGTGAATATGCGAAGGTCCTTTGCATCCATTAAATACTCTCTGACACCAGCGAATATTCAGAAACCCGATATGGCCACAAGCAAACTGCCGATCCACCTGCATACACATGTTGCCTGGCCTAGTCCCACTGCGTGCGTATGTGTAATATAACGCTCTGGTCAGGGTCTAGATCTATCCAGGTGTTTTGCACAATAACCTGCGACTTGGTAAGTGCTATTGATCTATATGAGCAATGCACCCGAGGCTCTTCAATGCGCAAATGGCTGGTACCTTGCTTGTGTATCCAACGTAATCGTATAATCTTCCTGATCCAAATCCATACGTCCGATAGTTCTAAACTGCTCGGCTGTAGGAGTCTTCGCACGGCACTCGGGGGCTGTCTAATAACAGCACACACACACGGCCGGCTGGGTGAGAACGAGAGGGCGATATCGAGTCGACGTGAAGTTGAAGCCTTCTCGTTCTGAAGTTCCCTCGAGAGCGGGACGTTAAAAGCGGCCAACGGTCGCCGGGGGTAAGAAAATGCGAACAAATCAGCGATCGTCAAACAGGAGCACTAATAACAAAGAAGACAAGTAACTACAGCGCCCTGCCCGTAGGCGCATGCAGCCTGTGTGTATCCAGATCTGATACAGCTTTCAAGGATACGCGCAAGGGTTTGCTGGCGGGTTTGCGGTTCGGATTGGCCTTTGTGGGAAGGGCTTGGAAACGAATTGAATCATTTCACAGAACTGATCGAGATCGCGATGTGCCATGACTGGCACGCAGAATGACGTTAATTCCAACCTCCAGGCGCACGGGTTGGGACAAATTTAGGGCCTCCCCTCGGGGGGCAAGAAAACAGCGGACCTTACTGTTGGGTGTCAAAATAAACTTAGCAAAAAGTCATCCTAAACTTGGGTTACGTTACCTAAGTCTTTTTGTCATTTAGGATTGGGGTCCTGTGTTTTCTTTCCTCCCCTAGCCCCCTTCCTTATTGATTGGGCTAAATAGCAGATGACCTAGCGTACAGAAAGTCATTGTGATTCGATTCCTGCTCCTCCATTGTCGTCACTTCAAGGTCTGGACTCCCTTGCTTGGTTGGGGCCGCGGCGGAAAAAAACCATACGATCGACCTTGACCTCACCATTGGAGTTATTGATCCAACGGAATTAACTCTCGGATCTTTTGTGGGAATCTTCAACCAATCGGCCAAAGATTTGAAGTTATTTACCCCTTCTGGGTTGACTCAATCATCATGGGATCAATATAGTGTACTGAACTCGAATGCTTCTCCGAGGACAAAATAAGGTGATTCTCCTGGCCGATCGCTTGCGCCCTGGCGCAATATACTACTGCGATCAAGATAACCGTCTTTTCTCATGTAGGAATATGTAGGGCCTTTCGTTTGGATCCTTTTCTTGGTGCAGTTTCAACATGAAAAAGGAAATATATTGTCCTTGACCGAATAACACAAGAAAATCAGGGGCCTAGTCCGATGGTGCATGATGAGAAGCCTTGGACGTTGAATCTCCCTGCCAATATCTTGTTTCTGTTTCAGGGTTGAGCGTTGAGCTACTCAAGCCGAACATAGCAGCATAGCAGTCAACAAAGTTTGGTGTATAGAGCACCGGGGCCAAGAATTGATACAGAATTCAGCTTGAACGGCCCAGATGCACTCAAGATCAAGTTGTGGTCTGGTCAGGTTGGAGACTGTACATATATGTGACGAACGCGAAATCACCACATCGTAGTGAACGATCACCCAATACATCCAACATGTGTGGAGGATGTGGAACAGTATCTCTAACAACTATCCAACGAATCGATTCTACTGGGTTAACACGGCATATAGCAGAGATGCTAGATTATCTTATTGTTTTATATCTTGATCAGGTTGTGTTCACGGAGGAGAACAGGCATTCAAGGTCTGGTGGCATGGTTCAACACCATTGTTCAGATCTCGAAATCAGGTAGCGTGTGGAGTCAACAATTTTCACTTGACTTACCTAGTACCTAGGTACCTATTGTTGGCTCTTACCTACCTAGGTACTTTAATGGAAGGCGTAGGTAATACCTACTAGAAGACCAACACAGATATTTCTTTACCTGCCGTTTGGCCTTGCAAAAAAGTGCGCTGTTGTGGGAAAGTGAGGTGCAGGTGCTCTTTTCGAGAGTGAGGCAACGGTTCGTTTGAAGGAGGAGCGAACCAGTTTCCAACCTCACTTCGAAATTTGGACCACTCTCTACCACTAGGTACCTTAGCTCTTTTAATTCCTGCAATTCTTTTAATTCGTCTTTTCTTTCCTTTTCGCTCCACAACGTCTTGAGCCTATCGCCAACCAACCCACTTCCTTCTATCACTCCTATGTCTCTTATGCTTCTGGCTGGCTATGAACATGTCTTCTAAAGCGATGCTATTTTTCTTTTTGGGAGTGACATTTCTTACGGTCTTCGCGACAGAGGCGCACTGCTTCTCATGGAGGCCGCGACCTGCGGATGGTATGTTCGAGAGATCGCGCTGGCGCTTTGATGCTAATATCACCATAGTAGGTCACCAGGTTACACTCCAGCACCCACAACGCAGTAGCGATAACACCGCCCTGCTCAACAAGCATTCGGAGAAGAGGCTATCCAACGCTTACACTACCGCACTTCAAGAGCTTCAAGACCTGGAGTCTGAGCCTCTCTGCCATCGCATCGCTGCACGTCTGCTAGTCAACAACTGTCACCTCCTGGATGGCCAAGACGACGCCAAGGTCCATATTGATAGCGGGAGAGCTGCTCGCGACTTTGTGGATTCTTATGCAGCAAGTCTTGCTATTTGCGACTTGGAGCGTGGCAGTTTCAGAATTCCTGTATCTTGCTCCAAGTTTCGAGAGGCAACCCTGGCTACCCTTTCTGCTTCACCTATCCCACAACTCCATGTTTTGACCGTTGAGATTGACGAGTGTCTCGAGGGCCTTGCTCAGTCAGATTCGGCTTGGAATACATGGGTGAGCTATCGCCACAAAGCGTTGAGGTTCTGCGATGCCGCAAGGGCAGATCACCAGAAAGGTTAGTGAGCGCCCAACCAAAGAGATGCCACACTGACCGTTCATAAAAGACGAGAACATCCTCCTTTATCAGAGAATCACTAAAATTCTCGAGAAACTCACCCACGATATTGAGGCAGACATAGAGGAACGATTCCATTCACTCAATCGAGCCTATACTGCCGCAAGCCAGTCTGTTCAAAACATGGGGCCTCATGTTCGACATCTCCGTACAGAGATGGAAAGAGCTAGTCAAATTCTGCGAGATGATTTGGGCCGCGCTGCTCAGGTACATAGCCATTATTTCTTTCTAAGGCACACTACTGACACAGGCAGGACTCGCGCGATGTCGTGGAAAACGGTCTCAGGGAAACGAAAGTGCTCCACGATCTTTTAGAACTTCTTACTCGCTCAGTTCAAGAGAAGACTGCAGACATCGTGTCATCACAAGAGGTTGCCCTCCAAACAAGCAGAAAGCAGTTAAACAACGAGGTCGATATACTTATGGCGGTGATGGGTGCGGCAGTCTCGTCGTCTGCTTCTCTTCAAAATCAAGTGGTGAGTCTGCTGAGGAATCACTCGGAAGTCAAGGTTGACCATTTAAGGAAATGACGGAATCTCGGACTGCAGATATCCTGGAGAAGCAGGTCAAAATCGAAAAAGTAAGTACCGGCTCCCACCCTTGAGTATTCTGTTAACCAGCTGAAGGGTATGGGGAAACTCGAAGTACTTGCCGAAGACTTGCTGGTCAAGTACGATAACCATGAATCCCGCCTCGACAAGGCCTTTCGAAAGACCGGCCAGGTCCTGGACATACTTGATGCAACTGCTGCATCTGCCAGTGGATTGAAAAGCTCTGTATTAAGCAGTTTCGGGCTTTCCGGAGTTTGGCCATACATTATTTGCCCATTTTTGTCGCTTGCAATGGGATCTTATGGTCTTCAACCTTCCCTTGTGAGAAACATATGGCTCGTCGGGTTTGGTAAGTTTCTGACCTTGTCAAAAGACTTTCGCTAATTGTATCAGGCGAGTTGATGGGCATGGTTGTGTCAAAAGCAGATTCTTATAAAGATGCTTTCGGCTTTCCATCGATAGTCGAAACCCCTGCTTCAACCTTCAACGACACGTTCAACGCCTCCCTCTCGGGAGAGAACATTCTCAAAAGCGTTTGATGCTTCGTTATCGTCATCATTCAAGTGAAGGTGAAATAAAAGGTTGGGCTACGTATAGTGGTTGTTTTGGGATTCATTTGATACGAGGGCAGACATGGAATTATGAACGGGATGGGTACTTTCAGACTTGGCTCGCATTTATCATGTCTTTTTTTCTTTTTAACTCTCGGGATTCGGGATTTGGAATACGAGCTAGATCACGCATGGGAACATACGGAGTACAGAGGCGGTATCAAAAGGATCCCGAGGAATTTCGTGGCGCCAGGAGCATATCAGTTTGCTTTGAGCATAGGAGTTTTGCCAATCAATTTCATGAACCACTGCATCATTTGCCTTTCCATATCCGGCATCGGAGAAATTACAATTGATTGCCCTATGAACCAACCTGTATTTGCAAATGTTGTTCATGTCTCCACATGAGAGTTTCAGCCTCGTCGCCATAAGAAAAAAATAAAAATAAAACAGTTGCACAATAGTAGCATTGACTTTCTAAATGGCGTTTATGACAACCACTTAGAATTGAAGCCAGAAGTGCAAAGAGAAGAACAATAGGAAATAATGATTGGTGGGGCTCCTGGTCATGCTACACAAAAGTTTCATCATCAGACAACAAGGCTGAGCCGTCGCTCATTTAACAGTGATAAGATATGGCCGAGCGCACGAATTAGAGCTCGCTGAGAACCCCACAATGCCTATCACCACGTGATTCTTCCAGTAGAGAATCGGCGTCACCCTAGCCGCGAGCTCGCAACTTTGTATGCAGCTGGGTTTTACATCCACGACGAATCACCCCTCGCCAACACACATTTTAGCCTTTGGGTTCTCATCGTTTACACTATACGTTTTGCGCGAACTCGTCTCCATGTAGAGTTCTACTGGCGCCGGCATTTCTTCACCTGGTGTAAGTCTTTTCCTTGTCGATGATGTCGCGAATTGCTTCTGCCATTCACCCGTTCTCCTGATCTCTTGGAGGCGCAGTCCACCAACGCGCATGACAACCATTAGGTTTCCAGCCTACGAGCATGCCTGATCGTGAAGTGTCTAGGGTCATGACTCCGAAATATCGGGACTTCACCGTTTCAAACGAAATAACCTACTAACGAGGACTTGTTTAGAACAGAATGAACAGCCAGAACCTTGGCCCTGTAGTATACGATCGAGACCGCGAGATGGAAGAACGACACCGAGCTTTACAGCAACGTGAGGAGATGGCCCGTCGGGACCAAGAGAGAGAACGTGAACAGCGCGATAGAGAGCGCGATCGAGATCGAGAGTCCAACGACCGGTACCAATCTACACCTCACCATAGCAGCGCCGGCTCCATTCCCATTCACCAGCCGGTCGCGTCGCGGATCTCTGGCGCAATTCATAGCCCAGGCGGACTTCTTGCGAATCACAACGGAAATCCTCAAATTCCCCTCGGTAACCCACCAGGTCCTCCCCTGGCCGCCTTTGGAGGGCCACTCCAGAGCGAGCACAACCGACCGGTCCAACACGGTGGACCAAATAATACCAATACACAACCACAAATGTTCGCGCCGATGCCGCACGGTGGACCGCCAACATCGACACAAGCTGCTGCCAACAGTGTCGCGGCTGTGTTTGGCGGTCCTTTGCAGCAACAGCCTCCGGAAGGCCAACGTGGGGGCCAGCAGGGCGCGCCGTTTAACCCAGCTGCTGCATCGGCAGCTCATCAGCTTCCTGGGGGAATCACCCAAGGGCAGCAACCTATTTTAAACGTAAGTTTCATCAATACAGTTCCTTTTGCGACGGGATGTTGTCATTGGAGGGGTACCAGCAACCTTACATGCGCACGTCGCAGCCACCCGCTAAGTTTGCGTTTGCTTTGCGAGCTGGTGATGCGACAGCGCGGGCCGCTGTTAAACCACCCACAAACCTTTGCCTTACTTTTCTATCCAACCCAACTTCATCTACCCCTCTTCTTATTTCTCCAAATTCCCTGACGGCTCTCGTGTGAAACCTTTACAACTCTTCACATTTTGTTTGCCTAGTGCCCGTTTTCTTGCTCTCGCAGACATTGTCCAACATGGAGCCTCATGCTCTCCTGGCAAGTCTTCCGGCGAACCCAGGCGATCTTGTTGGTATCTTTAACCATGAAGGAGAAGGCATGGCGCTTCTCCATGGACAAGAATCCGGCGTACCTTTGTTCTATTTTACTCTTATTGTATAGCATATGTTCTACTGGTATCGCTGCGCACATGTTTGCTGACTGCTTTTCTTTCCAGGATGCCCTCACCTACCTTGACCAGGTCAAAGTCCAGTTCCATGACCAACCAGACGTCTATAACCGATTCTTGGATATCATGAAAGACTTTAAAAGCCAGGCGTATGTTGCTGATTGAGCCGCCACTTTTGTCGTGACCTCAGCTAACGCAAGGACAGTATTGACACACCAGGGGTTATCAACCGAGTATCTGAGCTCTTCGCCGGGCATCCAAACCTGATTCAAGGGTTCAACACTTTCTTACCTCCCGGTTATCGTATCGAGTGCGGCGCTGGTAACGATCCGAATACAATACGAGTGACCACACCTATGGGTACCACAGTTCAATCTATCACAGGACGCGGAAACCAGGGTGACGGTCACGGTCCTGCCACAGCTAACCAGCCCTTGTTCCCCGAACGAGGTAGCCAGTGGCAGCAACAGAGACCGCAGCATAGCATCGAGAGCCCAGAGGCACAGTTCAGTACCCCTGTTCAGAATGGTGCAAGTCTATTTGTTCAAGCTGCAGCCCACAATGCTGCTTTCAACGAGAGCAACAACTCGGGGCAGCGACGTGCTCTGCCCCAGGGCAGCACAGGTCCTGGGGACGGGCCAAATGCGCGCCAGGCCTTGACACCCACTCCTTCTGGACA